GGCTGGGCCGGCGCGATAAGATGTGCCGATGGGCGCCCGCCGATTGCCCGCTCCGTCACCCGCCGTCACCGTCACCGTCACGCCGCCCGCGCGCAGATCGGCGCCGTCAGAGCCGCGTGATTAATGGGGTTGCGGTAGCGGCGGGGCGCGGGCACGCGGACCCCGCACGGGAGGAACAGGCTGGGGTCGCGAGCGGAGGGGCGCTGGGGGAGGGGCCCGGAGGCCAACGTGGCACCCGCCCCGCGCCCCCGGGCCCGGATGCGCACAGCGCGCCGCAGTACTGGGCACAGGCCACACCGAGGGGTGCGGGTCTGGGGCCACGGGGTGCACGCGATGGAGGGGGGCGGCGGTACCCAGGACACGGCGTCACCAAAGGGTGCCCAGCGCCGGGAAACCGCAGGCGCCACTCGGGGGGCGCGAGGGGCACTCCTGGGGGTCTTCCCCAGCACGGCACTGCCTGGCCCGGGGCGCTGCCACCAGGGCAACCGCCTCCGCCCCGCCGACCCAGCCATCTTTGTGAACCCTTCCACTGGTCCCCGCGACTGGAGGGACAAGCAGGGTCCGCAGTCAGTGTCCCGTGGGGTCCCCGCCTCTGCGCCAGGCGGGGTAGCATCCCCCCCCTAACTTCAGCCCGCAGCCCGGGTGCCCTGGCCCTCCACGCCCAGGCACTCCCGTGCGCCTAGACCGGCTCGTGCCACATCAGGTCACTGGAGGAGAAAGAGCAAATGCCTACCGGGGTGACCCGCCTCAGGAAACAGCCGGGCGTCCTGGGGGTCGAGGGGCTCAGCTCGCTGAGACAGTCGCCAGCCCAACCACCGCCCGGGCTCCCTGGGTTAGGAGCCAAGGGCAGGGCTGGGAGGGCTTCCTAGGGGAGGTGACAGCGCTGGGGTGGTGGGAGCCCCCGGACTACAGGAGAGGGAACTGGCAGGTGCGAAGGGCTGGCAGGAAGTGCCGGGGCGCGGAGTGACCCAAGGGGGCGCGGTCGAAGCAAGGGGGAGTCCGCTTGGCAGGCTGGGTCTGTCCGGTGGGCGACGGACGGGGATGTCAGGGGCAGTGTGGGTCCCTCTACCTTTCCCGCCCCGGGAGCGACGGGGTCCTCGCGATCCCAGCATTTCCGCGGCTCCGCGCCCGCGAGGGCGAGACCACAGCGCCATCGCGCGGCCACATGCTCGCAGCGCCGCCCCGGCCCGGCTCGCCTCCACCCCAGCCCCTCCGGGCTGAGCCCCGGGCTGCCACCTTGCTGCGCAGTAGAACTCCTGGCCAGGAGGCTGAGGCTAGGGCTAGGGCGGCCAGGAGCAAGGAGTCTCCGCACGCTTTCTGTAGGAGCTTCAAAGTGCTGTATGCCGGAAAGGGTCTCCTCTCCGCAGACCTGTTTCCACAACCCAGGGGTGCTCAAACCACCTGTGCACATTGGATGCTTCCCAACATTTGTGGGGCATTTCAAGCAGAAGTTGCAGGAGCTGTACCCCTATCACCAGAACAGCACCCCTCCTTTCTCCCACTTAGCATTGTGTTTTTGTTTTTTTTTAAAGATTTTTTTATTTGTTCATACAGAACTGGGGTACAGGCCAGAGGCTCAGGGGCGGCGTGAGGCTTCACCAGAGACAGAGTGGGGAGCAGAACAGGCAGATGGACGAAGTACACTGCTGAGGGGAGCAGTGGGCGGGTCAGGAGAGGTCTGCCGCGCCATGTGGTCGCCTCCGGGGCAGGCGGGAATTGAACTCATGAGGAAGTGGCTTTAGATTCTCAGTGCTGTGCTTTAACCCGCTGCGCCACCAGGGAGGACCAACAATGTGTTTGTCTTTTAAGAATTTCAAAGTTGTAGATGTCAATACAGCTTAATCCCAATTCCTTCAGCATCCGTACAATTATCTGGCGATATTTGTGCTTTTTAGAGGTTGCACTTTTAAAGAGGGCCATTCCATGAGTTTTAACAAGTGAAACCGAACCCTATCACAGATGTGATGGTCACCTCAGGAAGCTCCTTGGTGGTTCTTACCCACCAATCTCCAATACACCAGCGGCGACAGGTCTGGCTTACTGTCAGTTAGCTTTGCCTACTTTGGAGCTTCACAGAAACGGAATCACAGGGGGTGCTTTTGGGACTGGACTCCCCGAATTCCCTTCCAGATAGCGTGAGCTGTGCCTCAAGACCAGGTGCCTGTGACATGCCTCAGCTTTTTCCTCTTGGGTAAATACCAGGAGTGGAATAGTTAGTTATACACAGGGTAGGTATGTTTAGTTTCGAGTCTGCTACACCTTTTCCCAATGGACTGTTCATTTTTTTTTAGCCTCCACAGGCGGGACTTGCTACCAGGCCCCGTCTGGTGGCAATTTAGATCTTTACTGGGCTTTGCAGGATGAATAGTTTATGAGGCAGAAGGAACCCTGAAGAAAGGTCTGGAGGCTTGGTAGGTGCTGCAGGGCCCCCGCCGCCGAGGCATGAGCTTTCTGAGGGAAGCAGTGGCTCTTGCTCTGTACCCTGCGGGGGTTCAGTGACGTGGTTTGTGGAGTGGAAAGGAGGGGTGTTTAAGTGTGCCGGCCAAAAGCTCTGGAGCAGGGTGATGGGGAGGCCAGTGGGCTTGGGGAGCAGAGAAGTGAGGTGAGCACTGCCTACCGAGGCACCAGGACAGTTGCCCGGGCTCCTGATTTCAGTCCACAGCTGACAGCACCAGGGGAGGAAAATTTTCCAGGTCAAACGCACCGAGTGGACGTCTATCTAGGGGACGACGTCATCTACACCCAAAGGGCCACGAAACTCTTCTCTCACTTTTATTCTTCCAAATAAAGGGGTGCTGAAAACCAAGAGAACAGGACCAACTGGGTTGTAAAAAGTTGGCTTTATTTGTCACTTATTCACCTTATCTCAGTTATGCCATTTTGGCGTCCACAGTGACAGTCCCCTGGAAGCCGAGGTCAGCCCCCACCACGGTGACCGCTGATCACAGAGCCCAAGCTGCACAGGGCCCCCTAAGGGCACAGATGCCCAGGGGGACCAGGAGCCTGGGGCGGCTGCCCTGCCGTCTAGGCTGAGACATCCCAGCCACAGGGCGGCTGGGCAGGTGGCGTGGTGGGGGCGGCTCAGGGCCTGTGCAGGACTGGGTCTGACAAGGCCACGTGTGATGTGGTGGTGTCCCCGGGCTGCTGCCCAGACTGCCAGGCCCAGCCTGGCTCTGCTGCTGACTGGCCGGGTAGCGCTAGGCGAGGCGCTTCGTGCCCCTCGGCTGGTCTGCTTCCTGATTGCGCTGCCAGTGAGGTCTCCTGGGAGCGCCCTCCTGACCCAGAGAGGCGCCTGGGCCTGGCACGTCTACAGATGTGACCATGGCTGGGTGTATCAAGGCCACGCTGTGGCTGCTGCTGACGGGGAACCTCTCCTGCGGCTGCACATCCCCCCGCCCCTAGTGAGAACCCTGCAGACTGCCCTCGCCCTGCTCTGCCAGGTGCTCTCCCCTGAGAGGGGCCTCACTGAAGGCCTTGGAGGTTTCAAGTCCTAAGAGCTAATCACCTGTAATTCCAAACAACTTATTTCAGTCATGACTGCGAAGTCTTTTTATATCAAACACTGGAGCAACTTACCAAAAATCATGTTCTCTAGCCCTGATTTCACCACAGTTCTCAGGCCTGTGTGCCCCTCTTCTGCTGGAAGTTGAGAGATCAGTGGCATCTTGTCACTTACTTACTCGCATTTGGTCCTAAGTACAGTAAAAAAGTTCTCAAAAGACACGTGGAAGCCTTCACCCCGCAGGTGTCGGTGGCCTGGGAACGGCGGCGTCTTCCACGGGCCCCGCCCGTCAGGGCCAACCACGGGGAGAGGCAAGCAGACGGTACCCCTCACGTCCTCTCTGCCTGCCTGAGCCGCCCAGGCCCCACTTTGTAGAGCTGACAACTCCCGACCTCCCTGCTTCGGAGGACGCTCGCCGACGGAAGACAGAGGGCAGAGCCGCCAACGCTTCTTCTGAGCCTCAAGCCTGACTGAACAGGTGACAGGAACCGCCCACACGCAGAGAAGTCCACAGGTGGCCAGGAGTGTCTCTGGGAAACGACCCCCCGTTTGGAAGAAGCTCTGCCCAAAACACTACTTTCAGAAGAGAAAACAACTGTCTTCCAGAGAAACAATTTTAAGCCAAATGTTCCAAACCCCGATATGAAGGGCACTCATGTGCGCCCCTCGTCCACCAAGTCACACGATCTGCTCCCAGCCTCACCACCCACCACAGCCATACGGAGACATTGCAAAAACGTTTGTGCTTCTAACCAACAAGACTGTCCCTTCGTGGGCGAACCGCTGAGGCCACTGTGGCCGCCCGCCGCTCTGAGAAGGTGCAAAGGTTAAAACCGAAGTTACGTGGACGCTCGGGGGTAGTCTGCCATCCCCACGTCTGGCAGTCAGCCGAATCAAACCTCGCTACAGTTCTTTTGCCAATGCCAGAATAAAAAGCAAATTCTCAAATTGGAAAATTTCTACTTTACAAAGTGGAATGAAGGAATATGAAATTCAAAAACATTATGAAACAAAAGTCCACATGCCAAAGCGGCACGCCCTGGCTGAGCGCGCCCACAGTGAGGTGTCTCGTTCCCCCTTCCTCAGCAATTCCACAGCCTGGTCCTGGGGCGACATGGCTCAGAACAGAAGGGCCCCCATGCTGCCGACCTCGCTCTGCTCCTTGACGAAGATTTCGAAGTACTGGTAGATGATGGTGACGGCGAGCAGGATCCCGGTTCCCGACCCGATGGCGCCCAGGAAGTCAGCCAGGACGGAGAGGGCCCCGATGCACAGTCCACCGAAGGCCGCGGCGGTGGGGATGTACCTGGGGGTGGGAGACGTGTCGGCGACGTGCCTGCCGGCCCACCCACCGGAAGGGGCTGGGCGGTGGACTGCATCCGCTGCCTCAGGAACCTCGCTCCTAGAGAGGGGACTCCACTCTCCCCGCAACTTTTACCTACTCACACTAGTGGTCTCGACTAGGGTGGTCTGTCCAGGAAGTAGCCCAAAAGCCATGTGTGGCCAGTAACACGTGGCCAGGCCAAACAAAGATGTGGAAAGAAACAAGCCAGAAAAGCGAAATATCCCCTGACGGAGTTTCTTTTGCTAATATAAGTTATCCTGCATCTATTCCTGTTGTTCTGCATATCACTACTAGCTTAAATAAAATGTATCATTCAAATTAACTTCACCTGCTTCGTTTTAAACTTTTTATGCAGGTATAGCTGGCACCGAGCATTGTGTTAGTTTCAGGGGCATCTTTTTACTTTCTGAATGTGGCTACTGGGGAAGTTAACACTTCCTACGTTCATTCTACTGAACAGCCCTGTAAATGTAGAGGCTGCAGAGAATTCTTCTGAAGAGGATGAGTGGAACTGGGTGGGAAGTCATCCAAGTTGTGCTTCAACAACTCATCCTGTGGCAGCTTTTGTGCGTGAGCTGTGCTCCCGGGACGAGCCTGCTCTGCCCTGACTCAGAGGGACATCACACTTACTCGCGCACACGCTGCCTGCGGCTGCTTCCAGGAGACAACAGAAGAGATGGGCAGTTACGACAAAGACACCACTTCCAGCCGCCTGCCCAACAGGCCGCTCCCTTCCAAGTGAAAAGGGCAAAGCACCCCAGGCTATGGCCAGCTCCTCCACAGTGTCCCCCAGCTGCACTGAGCCCCCACCTCTGCCCAGGTTCACACAGCAGCGCCTTCCCCCGGTCCCCCTATCCTTCCAGGTAGGCCTCAGCCTCCGGCGCCGACCCTGGCCCCTCTGAGCTCACAGGCCGCCAGCCCCGAGGACGCATCCCGCCTGCCCCTGCAGAGGTGAGAGACCACCGCCTGGACTCCCTGGCTCACACTCACCACACCACCCCAGAACCCCCGGGCCACAAGCTTGTCTCCCCACGAGGAGAGGAGCAGTCTGTGTTTGTTGTCTGATTATGTCTCCAGTGTCAGCACGTACGTTCATACATACTTAAAGACACAGGGACTTTTTTACCCTTAGCTCAAGGATGAGATTTAATGAACCAGAAATCCCAAAGCCGTACCAGGATGTCTGACCTGCAGAAAAACCACAAAAACAAGGCTGGGAGCCAGCACTCACCGATTGAGTTCATGCACCATGGAAGTCTCTCGGTGGCCCCTCATCACCATCTGCTGCTCCTTCAGCTGCTTTGCAACCTACGTGAAGTCCACAGAGGAGAACACAATGTTAAGCGTTCAACTCGAAGCAAAGGGAATGATCCGGCGCCTGACAACACCTACGTCGCGCACTGCAGTCGGCCGCAGCACAGCCGTGTACTAGGCTTGTTCAGGTGGCTCCAGCTTCCCGCTGAGCATTCACCCTCGCGCGCCCAAGGGACGAAGTGTGTGAATTCACAGACCACCTCCTCGGGAAGAGCTGCCAGGCTGCGACCCCTGGCAGCACGAGTGACAACTACAGCTTCCTGCTTTCCTCTCCCCGCTAGAAACTGTGACTTCCACTTACGTCTTTGGCCGAGGAGCCTGAGACCTCAATCCACGTTTTGGAGAAGAAGGCGCAGGAGCCCAGCATGAACACTATGTACACGACCGCGTGCACGGGGTCTTCCAGCACGGAGCTGAAAGACTCTGGAGGGGACAGGTAATAGCAGAGGCCACCAACGGGATACGCACGGGCTGGACCCCCGGAGGAAGTATCCTGGAAGAACAGAGAGAGCTGTCAGTGCCGTTTCATCACCCCTGAGCATCAAATAAAGTCTGACAGATGAGAAACACTATGGTTTTGCTCAAGTGCCTTCCATAGAGGTTTCTCAGCGAAAAGAAAATGTAATGTGCCGAACAGGTAAGAGACACCATCAGGGAAGTCTCTTTGGCTGAAACAGTCAGAACAACACAACACACGTAGACCACACCACGCGACCGGCAGAGCACAGTCCCAGCACGGCTTGGTGACAGTGGGTACTTACAGACCAGGTGCCCAGCAGGCTGACCAGCAGGTTGCCACTGAAGCGGGCGGACAGCATCTGGGAGATGACGTACAGGTTGGACACCAGGGCTGACTGCAGGATGATGGGGATGTTGGAGGTGTAGAAGAGCTTGATGGGGTAGGTGTTGTACTGGCCTCGGTAGCGGGCTGACTTGATAGGCAGGTCCACTCGGAAGCCCTGAAAAGCCAAATGGGAAACCCCCTTCACCACTTCAGTTCAGCAGGGACAGCCAGGTCTGGCACCAGGGAGCAGCCCAAGCATCAGGCCAGGGCTCTCATGCCTCCCATCCCGCCTCTGCACTTGGGGACTCATGGACTCATCTCCCCGAAGATGGGCTTCAAGCAGCACCAAGCACAGCCCCGGAAGGACCCCCTTACTCTGAAAAGACAAAGTCCAGCAGATGACTGGCATCTCCGTGGACACCCAGGGGAGCCTGAGCACATGTGCCCATGGCCCGACAGTGGTCTCGCCAGTGTGCTCTTACAGGGGTTGGGTGAGCAAACCACGTGGGATCCAGCTCACACCCCTCAGAGGCCCTTTTGGGTGTTTTTAATTATAAACAGAAACACTCTTTTCTAAAACAATATTTTCCTCTGAAACCCTACAGGAAAGGTTTCTTTTATGTTATTTTCACAAACTCTTAGTGCCTAGAACAGGTCTCAGGATAGAGAATAAAGTTAGTTCTTGACAATCCGACTGCAAACACCTGCCAAGCCCTACAGTGTCGGCCTGTGTTGATCGGGCACCTGGCGAAGTCCAGCCGAGGCGGCCGACCCACTGGGCGCTCAGGGGCGCTGAGCTGGGACAGACAGCTTTCTGGAAACTTACTAAGCTGCCCTCTCCATCTGCCCCCTCCGTTTCAGTCAGATCCAAAGTGGATGATCAAGAAAGGCTGTCCAGGCACACAGCAGCCAGCAGCCCATGTGTCCTTTTCAAAAGCAAGTCACACAGACAAGTGATCTGGAAGCTGAGAGCGCTCGGGAGAGGACCTTCTCCAAGTAGGCAAGAGGCGCTACACGCACTCTGCAGCCTTGGATAAGACAGCGTGAGGCTCAATTACGCTCCACTTCTTGAGCTGAAAGTGTATTTTTATCTCCTGCTAAGCCCAATCCAGAGAAACCAATTTCAGAAACGGTAGATTGCCTCTGGTTAGTTCTGGTTAGCTCAGGCTAGTGACCCAGTGGGACACTCCTGTCCGTTCACGTGGGAACCTGCTCCCTTCAAGTGCCACCACATCAGCTCAAAATGATACAATGGCATAGACATCCCAGGGAGGCGCGGGGGTTCGCACACGCCAAAGCTGAAATCTGAACCTGGACGCACCTGGAAGTAGATGACCACTGCGAAGACAAAGATGGTGGCGATCAGATTCATGAGGTTGGGCAGGTTCTGGCGGTAGAAGGCCTCCCGGAGGGCACGGACCTTGTCGGTGCGTGTGGCCAGCAGATGGAACAGGGCGATGATGGCACCTTCAAATTCCATTCCTGTGGGCGAAGAAGGGGACATGTGGTAAAGGAACAGAGCAATTAAATTTGGCTCTAAGCTCCCCAGCAGCTAACAGAGAGGAAGACATAACTGGCGATGTAACTCACGTGCCTATGCCTGCGACCACAGGAATATGATGATCTGCGCAGCCTCGTCTCTCTCTTCTCAGAGACTCCAGAAACGGACTGCTCTAGTTTTTTAAACCAACCCAACTCCTTTCTTGGGCAGAGGTGAGACAGTGGCCACCAGATGCGTGGAAGGGAGATCAACTATGAAAAACCAGTGAAGCAGGGTCTGCTGAATTCAACAGTTCGGGGTCCTATACTGAAGAGGGGGCGAGGGCCACCAAACCTACGTCCCTGGAAAGCCCCAGGCGGCAGGCACAGTGCAGGGGCTGCCCTGACAAAGTGGGGCTCGCGCTGGCTGCTCCCACACCCAGGGTCAAGCAGAGAGAATGACGTGTGCCCACTCGGGCTACCTGGAGTTCACCCCATGTGAGCAGATGCTGGGGGGTGGCAGGGGGGAGGTGGCAGGAGTACGCTGCCAGCTTCCTGAGGGATGGAGGGGAAGCAAACGTGGGCACCTGTCACAGGACAGCACTGGTCTATCTCCCCAGGGTACGGAATTCAGGGACGTGGCGGGTGGAGCCAGCACAGCTTGCAGTTCGGGCTGCTCAGGCAGGAAGGGACCTGCTCAGCTCCGAACCCTCTCCGCTTCTACCGCCCCATGATCTCCGCTTCAACTGTGCGCCCCTATTCGCTCTGTTCCAGCCACACACACTGTTCTGGAACACCTGAGGTCACTCCCTTAGGCCTCTGCACCTGCTGGGTTCCTCCAGCCACGTGACGCTTGTTTTTACTTTGGTCAAGGCCCTCCTACACTCGCACTGGGACACCCCCTCCAGCGGTCCCCTATTCCCTGGCCTTCTTTTCCTCCACGGTATCTGCGGGACACCAGACCAGCTGTAACGTGAGTTCACTGACTTGTATTCCCAGGGTCTAGAATAGCGCTCGGCTTGTAATAAGCATCTAACAGATGTTGTAGGTTAATGTCAGGGTTAGATCTAAGTTTCCTAATTTTTTTTTTATAAGTTTATTTTTACATCATTTTGTACATTTTTTTTTCCTTCTCAACTGTAATCCCCATGGGTTTCCCATCACCAAGCCACCCGTGTGCCATCACCATAATCCTGTGCACTTTCCCCCCCAACCCCCCCGTTAGTTTCCTCATTTTTAACAAAATTATTTCTTGAAATTTATAAGCACTGCGTCTCTTGGAGCAACATAAGCCCTAATGTGAGCGTTGTTTCGGGAGCAAAAGCTGTCTTGTACCTGTACTGCCCTGCTCGTCCTGGTGCAGCCTTCCCATTCGCCAGGACGCAGCAAGGGCCTCTCCCGCAGACCTGAGAGGGCTCAGCTGGCAATATATTTTCTTGTCACCAAGCCAAGTCACAGCATCTCAGATACAGCTGCCAGGCTGCCTTCAAAGCTCTGTGACCTTTGCAACCTCTGTCCTCCAGGCTCCAGTCCTGATGACCCGTCCATCTCCCCCTGCCTTCAGTCCCCAGGAAGCCCAGTACTTGGAGACCACACACAGGGCTGCAGAACCACCTCGCCAGATGCACCCTCTGCAGGTCCCAGATGTTCCCGCTGACAGCATGATGTTCTTACTCAGAGTGAACAACACCTAACTGTGCGCGTCAATTTTTCATCACTCTTGAAATCAAGAACTTCCCTGTTGTTCTTTGTCGTCCCTAATGCCTCACTCGATGCTTTCCTTTTCAGACAGGCTGGCTTGTCACAGCCGACCACTGCGACCGGTCACCATTGCAAGCGCTGCCCGTCCGGGCCTGGTCATCTCTGGTTCCCACTGCTTCCCTGGCCTGCTCCTGAACGCAGTGTGTCTCCTTGGCCTTTGCAGATCACCCCCGCTTGGAGCCCACTCCAGGGTCACTGTCCGGTGCCTCAGGTGTGGCCACCAGCCAGTGCCGGTGACAGTCTCGCCACATTCCTGAACTCACCCCTTCCTCCACCTGCCTTTCAATTCACCCCGAGAAGCCCTGCCGTCTGGTCTCTGGTGTCCCATTTGCTTGGATTTCCTGAACTTCCGGGAAGGGCCAGGGACTCGGCTCTTGTCCACTCTTCTCTGATGCCCCCTGACATCTCAGCCTCGCGTTTCACTCCTCTGTCCTCTGTGGAGCACATGCGGCCTTCATTTGCCCGGGGACCTATCTTGAGCCTCAATAATGAGATGACATGGCTGCTGGAGGCCAGGGACTCTGAGTAACATATTTAGTAATTTTTTAAAGAAGTTGGTTTCTCTTGGTCAGGTTTCCTAGTTATTTAGTAACAAACATACAGTATTTGTATGTGATACAAATATGCACTTGTCAAGACTCTCCTGTGACAAGAGTTTGTTGGCACTCTTCGGGGGCAGACACAGAACACTAACATTGCTAGGCGGCTGCCAGGGCCAGGCTCACACGCCCCGTGGTAGTTCCCTCTTCGTATGAGCCAGGCCCCGCGGCAGAGCAACATGCCCTACGGAGCGCTCCAAGTTCAGGCCTCTTTCGGGGCTGCGCTGGTGGGGCCACGTGCTGTGGATCAGCACTGTCAGTGTTAGAAACGTACCAAGGGCAAATGTCAAATGTGTAAAGATGCATGTACCAGAATACTGGCTGTTTCACTGCTGTGGTAACAACAAAAAACTGAAGCTGTCTAAATGTCCACTAAAAAAAACTTAAAATAACTGGCTTCTTCCTTGCAGTGGAAGCCATTCATGCTGTGCCGAGAAAAGGAGGCCGGATTATATTCTGGCAGGACCAATGTCTGTGAGACACTCGTATGTGAAAATACAAATGACAAACTGCTAGGAGCAGACGCGCCTGTGTTTCTCAGAAACCTGCAGATGCACACAGGAATTGGGAGCTGTAGCTAAAATCGGTGGCTAAAATCGGTGGCTTTTCCTGTAACGAGGGAACTTGTCCTCGGCTCTGCACACATTACTCCTCACTGCGCCCCTCCCGAGGAAGCCCGGGGTCCTTACCTCGGCCAGTATTGACAGTGGTGGGGCTGAACGCCTTCCACACGATGGTCTCACAAATGTTTGTGGCAATGAAGAGGGAGATACCAGAGCCCAGGCCGTATCCTTTTTGCAGAAGTTCATCCAAAAGTAGGACAATTAGGCCAGCGACAAAGAGCTGTAAAGATTAAAAGACACGTGTAAAGGAAACCACGTGGGCTGCTCCCCACGGCAGCGCCTCCCTCCGGCGCTGGCTTTCCGGACATGAACACCGGGTTGTGGGGCCTCTGTCTGGTGAATTCAGAAGGGCAAACGCATGGGCTCTGGCTTCTTCTCAGTAAATGTTTCTTTATATAGGGCTCAGATTAGTTATTCGGGAAGGGTGAATGGGTATGAGGACAACTGAGCGGGGGTGTCACCGGGACAATTACCTGTATAGTGATTAACAGGCAGATTCCAGCACCCATTTCGGAAGGGTCCCCATACATTCCGGTCATCACATACACGATAGACTGGCCAATGGTGATGATCATGCCGAACACTAGAGGAAAAGAAAGCTGTTCTCAAGGCGGGACGCCGCACAGCCAGCGGGGAAGCCGTGAGCGCCCGCTCTGCACCAGCAAGCACAAGGACGGCCGTGCTGATGCTGCCCCAAGGGGCTCGTCCAGGAGCGCCCGACAGCCACTTCTGCCAGAAACGCGCCCTGTAGTGGAAGTATCTGGCTCTCTAGCTTCACCTTCCAAATTCACTTTCCTTTCAGTGATGCGAGGAGGCAAAGGGCCTTGAAGTAAGACAATGTGGTTAAATGTGGTTAAATGAAAGCTGAGCCAGGGAGCAAAACCGACTGGAGACTACGTGTGGGGCACACAATGTGATGATGATGCCAATCTGCAGCACCCGGAGGCCAGGTGGCTTGGGCTGTGGATCGCTCCGGGGTCAACTGTCGTCTGGGCCCCTCCACAGGCTCTCCGGCCAGGTCTGGGTGCAGCACACAGGCTGGGAATTCCAGGAGAAAGCCAGCGCTTCCTGGCCCGTATCTCGTGTGTTGTAGGAAAAGCCTCACCATGCTGTGCACTCAGTCACTAGCCCATGTCCTCTGCCACAAAGGCCATGTGGCCCCAAGAAGCTTGGCCTGATTACAGACTGTCCCCATCTCTCAAGGCACAGTGAATGGACATGTTATTATTGGTCCGCAACACGATCTGGATGCCTAGGTTTGGACGTGGACTTCAACTCAGCTTTTCTTGAAGGTTGGTCCCGCAAAACACATTTTGATTACCCCAAAATGTCTGTCAAATATATTCTCTATTTGACTTTTTAAAGTATGCAACAATGCTCAATTTTAAAAATTTTAAAAATTTTAAAAATTGTTGAAATCAAAGACAAAAACTTGTGCTTTTGAAAAATGACGCATATACAGATTTTAAAGCCTTCATTTATGTCTGAAATCAACAAGTTTATAATTAGCCTTTCTCACTCAGTCATTTAGCCTATTAATTTTAAGGTCTTTACTGTAAAACATGCTCATGTGGAAGAAATAAATATCACTCCCTAATCAGTTTACAGGCAAAGGCCGAACATGAGTAATCTGACGCAGGTGACTGTGACTAGTGACAACTTATTTGCTACAAAGCAAACACCACGATTATCCCCATCTTTACAGGTGAAGAAATGTGGCTGTAACAGCTGCTGTCTGTCTTTGTCCCAGGTCACAGAGCTAGCAGATGGCAAAGCTGGGCTGAGAGGCTTACTTACCCCATAGACAGAATCCTTTCAAGGTTCTAGACAAAAAGAGCAACATTTGCCAGAGAGATACTCTGTGCAGTCTCTGAGATGTCTCACACACTACCCAGAGGAGCTCTTGTGACGGCTGACTGGACATCACCCCCTGTGAGGTGAGAAACTGTAGCTGGCAGAGGGGAAGCCTTCCAAGCCCTGCGCTTGACCAGACTTATCTAACCCACCTGAAAAGCCTTGCACTCAACTATCCCTAAGTGCTCTCTTGCTAACAGAGGCCAAAGGGATTGCATTGTAGAAAACATGTTTTGACACCCCAAAACTTCATATTCTCAAACGCATTGGAAAAGAATTCAGAATCTTACATTTTTGGGCTCCATTGAAGAGGGCTCGGTCTTTTGGGGTGTCACCAACTTCAATAATTTTGGCGCCAGCCAAGAGCTGCATGATGAGGCCAGAGGTGACAATTGGAGAGATACCCAGCTCCATCAATGTGCCTTGAGGAAGGGGGAGGCAAAACACAGCCAGTATTAGCTTGGAAAAGCAGATTATTAAGAAGCTGAATGAGCAAAATCTCCCTTTCATGCAATTCCATTGTGTGTTTCAGTTTGCAAGCAGCATTTAGCTTAGAGGATAACCCCCAATATCAATGATTAGAGCATAATTCAATTCAGCTGCCTAGTCTGCCAGAAAACATCGCTCTTTTTAGGTCATCTGGTGTTTAAACAGACTGTTGCATTTAAACTCACTATAAACAGATTCATTCTGGTTTTAGAGAGATAAGAAAGGTTCCTCTCTTCAACAGTCAACAAGGATAACATTCCAATAATTTCCAGAGCCTGGAGAGAAGGTCTGTACAATTCTATCTAGTTGTGAATAAACCTCTACTTCCATTATGCTAAAATGAGCTATACCCCCACCTGATCTGGAACTTTACTCGGACTATATTGTCAAAAGAAGCATTGCTATAAATATTTAAACACCCACCTCTCTCCCCATTCCCGCCCCTCCCCCCCCCCAAACTAGAGTATACAAAACACAGTTAGGTATTTTTGGACACACATGCATATCTATAAACCTATAGAATTGAAAGAGATGAAGCTGAGAAGTAAGTTATATATTTTAAAGAACGTTATCAAAACAGAAGGAATACAAGAGAAATGTCATTTAGTTCTTTTAAGAAGCATTCTAGTTTTCCGCGCCTTTTTTTTTTAATTCTCTGTGATGTAGATTTTCTAGTTATTAGGGGTTTTTTCTATTGCATTCAAATGCAATTCTGAATATGACAATATGCCTCAGGGCTGAGTCCAGCCTCAGTAAGGCAATTCAGCACAACACATTCTCTTTCTAACCACTCTCAGAATGCCACGTAAAGCCAAAGCCTGTAGCTGAACTCAAGCAGGCCAGGTAAGCCCACGCCGCATGGTGCAGTGAGCCAGCCATACCTCTGTTGGATGCCAGAATCACTCGTATCCAGTAGAAGGGGTCAGCTGAGTCAGAAGACATGATACCAAACAGGGGGATCTGGAAAGAAGCAGTGAGAAAGAGTGAGCACACCTGTCTTCAGCCCACTCACAACCCCACCTGGGACTGGCATACGAAGCCTGTGCTTACCTGACAGCATACTAAGAAGATAAAGAGGGTGATAGCAGTCCACAGCACTTTCTCCTTAAACTGAATCTATGGAAGAGAATGAAATTAAGGCAGCAAGTTATTTTCAAAAGTAAATGAACAGAAATGGACTTTACATCAGACTTGTTTTTCTCAGTTCACCAGAGAGGCCTGAAAAGCCAAACCCCACATCAAACATCACCATACACACTGCACGCTTTCCATGCACACGCCATGTGTGGCAAAGTCCTGACAGACACCATCTCATTTCCTCCTTGCTCCACACAGCATCACTTTTATTTTACCCTGAGCAAGCTAAGTCTTTGCTCAAATCCCACAGCTGAAATGAATCTCAGTCCAAAGTGTGTACTTCTAACTATCTGCATTAACATTGCAGGATTAGGCCCAAGGAAAAAGTCACTGCACTAGACAACAGTAACACCTGAGCAACTTTCACTTTTTATTTGAAAGGGTTTCCTAGTTGATAAAATCTTTGTTATTCTGAAGTCAACTAATTTAGAATTTTTAGTTATTTAACAGTGTGTTTTCTATGAATTAAGGGTAACACTCAATAAGCATAATATTCTGGGGAGAGCTGGAAAAGCTGCCTGTTTAACCTATTCACTATCCACTAAATGCATCTTTCAACTTACTCTCCACACCTTTTTGGGTGTGAAGTAGGACAGGTGACTATTTGGAATCACTTTAGACATGCCTAATACACATCACTAGAGAAGTCTGGGGACCCCTTTCCCCCACAACGCCCTGCTGATATCAAGTAGAAGAATGGGAAATCTTTGGGTCTTCTGCCTCTGAAACTGTCTTGGGCTACACTGCTTACCTTACGTCTCTCACATGGTACACGCACTCTTGTGTCTAAGTGGAACTTGTGTGTGGGGTCGGGGAAGAAAATGATATAAGGGCTGGTTAGGGGTCACAACTGCCAGGAAAACTGGTTTGAAAAAATGATTTTTAATTTAAGAAGTTTAAGGAAGCACAGAGTTGGGTCTGGCTCTCTGATCAGAACACAAGTCGCAGTTCCCCAAGTCTACTGCTCTGGGCAGGCTACAGGCATCACACAGAGGGGAAGGAATTCAGTATCCAGACGGTCAACCTGAAATCACAGAACTCGTCTTCCTCTTGAGACTGCTCCCCTACCTGTCAACTCACCACACCAAGAAGTAAGAGGCCTGTGCCAACACCACTTCAGGCTAGTCACTAACCTAGCTTTTGATTCTTTATGGGAGGGATGGGGGGAGAACTTTTACAAGACACCTCAATCTTCAATAATCAGCCTTCTCTCCTAGATGCCACCAAACTCAACAGCAAAACTCCCAGAGCTCGATCTGTCCAAGTGTCACATTTTCCACTTACATTGTGCCCAAATCCCTGTTTCTCAGCTCATTCCCAGAACAGGTCTCTAGGCCACTCTCCTCTCTCCTACTTCCAAGCAATCTGCAGATCTGATCTGCCTGGCTCCGATCACTCCCACATACCCTCTAAAACCAATTCCTCTCAAGAAATGTCTGCTCTTCCTTCAAAACCACAGCGCATATCACACCTTGAGTGGTGTATTCACACTCTGAGCCACTGCTATACCTTTCTCTATTTCTACTGCTTCCACTACCATGCTTAGTTTACATGGTCAAGGTCAACAACTATTAGGTTGTGAGCAGGGTGGAACTCAGGTTTGCCCAACTCCAGAGCTTGCCCTTTTACTCTACTGGGTGGGGTGGGTGGGTGGAGAGTTTTGCAAGACAACTCATCAAAGGCAGCACCATATATGAACTACCTATACCAAAGGACTTTAAGTTAAACAAAAAAGTAGACTCAGATCCCAAATGTCCATGCTGTTGTCAAGTACACATAAACATATGTGAAAGCATAAGCGTTCACATGTCAAACAGTACTTTGGATAGAATGTAAAGACAAAAATACTTTGCTGCTCATTCTCTGTCACACAACAAGAATCTAAAGATAACTTTCCTTCCTTATCTATTAGCTTTACTCACACTGGTGACACTTTCTCACCCCAGAAATTCTGATAAAGATTCAACATAGCTCGACATTTCTATCTTCCCAGGTTTTAAGGTCCTAATTCTCAGTAAGGTGACAGTCTACATAAAGGGTACAAACTTATTTGCACAGAGTAAGAGTCTGCTCTTAGCTCCTTTTAGCAGCTGGATACAGAGAACATCTAGGGAAAAAACAACACGTGACAGGCTCCTGTTGGAGGTGAAGAAGGGAAGGTAATTCAATCCGAGTCTCTCAAAAGGCTTTTGCGGCCTTATTCACCCAGGCGAGGATCCATTTTGGGGATGGGGCAGAAAAGGCTGGGTGCACCGGAGTAACATGCGCACGGGATGCTCCAAACAAAGCCCGATGATTTCACTGGAAATTCCCACAGAACCAGGGCACCTTCGCAAAGCTCGGGGGACCACAGCAGCAACACCCCTGGGGGGTGAAGGGAGAGTTTCCATTTGGCGCGTTGAAGCCATTTTTAATTGCCGTGTAAACTTCCAGCGCCCGGACAGTTTCACTAAGTCGTCCTGGCCGGGGGTTTGGGGCACTCACCTTCCTCTCCGGCTTCTGAATTTCCGGCAGGATGACACAGAAGGGCTTGATGACTTCCAGAAATTTGACTTTGATGGGAGAAACAAAACCAGAGTTAGGGCACAGTGAGCCCTCCCGCCCTCCCCTACCCGGGGAGCCCTCCGCCCAGGGCGCGCTGGAGCAGGCCGAGCAGGGGGCGCGCGGGGACCCCGGGAGGGCCGGCGCGCGCCCCGTTCCGCCGCGACCCGGCAGGCCTGGAGGGTGCGCGCCCGTCCGGAACGGAGACGGGCTGGGGAACCCGATCCGTCCCGCCGTCGCCGGGGCGACCCCCAGGCACTCACTCGCCATGACGGCGGCTGCTCGGGCTCCCGGTGCCGCTCCGGCTCCGCTCCGCTCCGAGTGAGGCGACGCTGCCCGTGGCCCAGCCTGCTCCGGAGCGCAGCCGCTCCGCCGAGAGACACGTCAGTGCTAGCACCGAGGTGAGCAGCGCGGCGCCGGGCGGGGCGGGCCGGGGGCGGGCCGGGCAGCCGGTCAGTGTCCTACCTCTGCCCCCGTTAGAGGCTGAGGCGGGCAAGGGAGAGGGAGACGGCCTGGCTGCTCCCGTGCCGCAGTTTCCCTGGCACGCTTGCCCCTGGCTGCCCTCCAGGGTCCTGCAGCTCAACGGCGCCCCACAGGCCCTGGCCTTCTGTAGCAACGCTGGAGACCTGGTGCTGGCCATCGGGTCCCGCCTCTGCCTGGTGTCCCACCAGCTCTACCTGCCGGCGTCCTACCTGGTGAAGGTGCTATGAGCACAGGGTGGGCAGGGTCGGGCAGGGTGA